AGCTATATGGAAAAAGTTGTGGATGGTTTGCTATACATGAAGATTTCCAGTCCATTTTGTGAAAATATAAAAAAATTCATTGCTGCTATAGTCTTGTCCTTACAAAGCAGCATTGTTATACATGGATACTTGTCAAAAGCTGAAGCAATTTATCCATCAAACCAACCTTATTGTTTAAAAACATTGGATTTCCTTTCCCATTATTCCTTTTTTTTTCTTTTATTATCCTTTTGGTTTTTTCAACTGGTAAGCAAATCTGGGCTGCGCCATTTTGGACAGCGCTACGGAATTCAAACCGACCCTGCCCAACGCCAACTCAGAGTTCTTAAAAGAGAAATGGACAATTTTTTGAAAGAATTAATTACTAGTATGGTTCATGAACTATATATTCAAATGTATAAATTGATATATAAACTAAAAAAAGTTATATAATGTACCCATAAACTTTCAAAATATGTACCAAGTCACATATTAGTTCCACCAAAAGTTTCTTTATATATAAAAGATTAGGATGAAGGAGGTTTTCTCGTTGCGAAGTTAGGGACTTACATTGAATTTAAAAATTACCCACCAAAGGAGACGGCTGGTAATAGAATTCAAACCAAAGACTTATAATGAAGTATTCAAGCCTTATTAACTTAATCAGCCTTCCTTGGCATTCCCGCAAAAAGTTTTAAGTTCAAACTTACTATACTCATCATACCTAATGAAAGCACATAAATCCTAGAGAGAATATTATAGGCACCCTGCTACCATTTTTCATATATTAACTGCAAGCATGTAACAAACGAGTGCTTGCGAGACAATCAAATTCCTTTTTGGCCATCAACATATGGGGACCGTGCCTAGCTTAAAAGCAGCCAGATCATGGCATCATGCAAATATAGCTTCATAATCGAACCTACGGAACTTATGGCTGCAGTTTTATTTACACTACTATATTAGCCATGATCACATTCCTTTTTTATTGGAATTACACTGAAAAACTATTAATAGTATTCATGGAGCGCACTTTTTTTATAGTATGCTGCCTTGCTTGAAACGAGGTGTTGAGTAAATGCTGCAAGATGCTATACTAGGATATAAAGCTATGATGCTGGCCAACAAGTTCCCCAGTACTCCAACTTACTAACCGAGCTACACTATTAATAGATAAGTATTTTTATGATCCAAGCTTCTCAATTTCCTATTAATTCATCTTTAAGACAATATTCTAATGAAGATATCAGATATGATATAGATTTGAAGTTTAACGTCACAAAGCATCTAGAGTTTATGAAAATTTGACACTTTCCTAGAAATATGTTGTTCAGACATGGACAATGAACTCAAATTTTCTGGAAACTGCAGCACTCAAAGATGCATTTGAATGAACCTTTTAAGGAAATAAAGCTTTTCTTTTTCAAACAATAAACAGCTAAGTTGAAAATAGCAATTATTTTATCCTTTAATTAATCTTTATCATGCATATATCTTTCAAGGAAGGTTAATATGGCAAAAAATAATAATAATAATTACATTCGTGAACTAGATCATATCCAAAAAAAAAGGAGGATCAACACATCTCATAGAAGGCAAGATGATAAACACTAATCTGGCCAGTGTGGGAGAGAGATGCATATCATTATGCACGATTTCAGCCCCTATTCTTCATGCATTCTGGAAGGCGTACATAGTCAAATTGGGCTCCTTAAGTGGACTAGGTGTTTAGTTTGCTTTGGGTGTTAGGTCCTCGGGACAGCCACGTATGTTCCGTGTCTTGGGTGTTTGAGACGGGCACATGAGTTTCGGGTCAGAATCCGAGCTTACGCGTTGATCCTTTTTTCATTTTTAGTACAATATAAAAAATCTTTTTTTTTTTTCAATTCGTTTTACCCTTTTTACTTCTCTCTTTAAAAATCCACCCTCCTATAAATACTATCCCAAGTAAAAACAGAATCAGCCGCCCAGATTAACCAGTTTTCGGCATCAGCCACCATCATATTCGCCATTCTTCACCGTTAGACATCACTTGTCGACGCCAAAAATCGTCCAAAGTCCAAAAAAATTCCATGCCACGTGTCAAAACGTAGCATTTTTTAATGTCTTGTGGCACTTGAGAACCACTTCTTTCTTATCTATTTTTTCTTTTGTTTTTTCTCTTCACCGGACCAATATAGTTATGGTATAAAATAAATAAAATTAATCCTAAAAAGCTCTAAACATAATCTTTTCTTTCTTTTCTGTCATTTTCATCACTATTACCTCTTCTCACCAACACCCTTCTGTTGACCTTTTATCTTGTCCATAGTAACTCTCCTCTTTCTTTCGTTTCTCTTTTCCTTTGTTTCTTTCTCCCCTTTTTTTTTTCATCAGCGAAAATGTAAAAATCCCAATCTCTCTCACATTGTCTTCCTCCACGAGGGGCCTTAAATCCTTTGTCGATGGCTTAGTTTCTTCTCGTTTCCCTTTCTTTTCTATGCTTTTCCTACTTTCTTTTTCTTCTTTCATCTTTTTCCTTCTCTTTTTTCATTTTCACCTATTGTTGGTAATAAGCATATTTCGCCACCACCACTACCCACCAAGATGGCTTGATCGATGAGCACAACAAGCAAGCCATCACCATCATCTTTTGAGACCACTATTGTAGCGAACAAAATTCTTATCTAAGAAAAAGGTTATGCTAATTACGAGATTTTTTTATTACTTTTTTTTATTGATTTTTAGGTTTTGATTTATCTGAAAGTGTTGATATATTTGCTAAGAAAAAAAGAACAAAAATAATATCTTCAAAACGTAAATTCTCAAAGTGCTAAACCCTAAACAAAGGTTTTGAATATTGGTAGAGTTGTTATTAGTTTGATAGTTTTTATCAAATTTTTTGGGTTTGATATTAGATTTAAAGAAATATTGAATTTCAAAATTAGTTATGCATTTGATATTTTTGATTTACGGTTTTGGGTTGTAAACTAAGCGCAGCCGTAGTAGTTTTCTCCAACTCTAACTACAATTTTGAGTTTCAAACACCTGCCAAATAGTTTCTCTTATAAGAGCATAGGCCTCGATCCAAGGAGTTCAAATTGAGCCCACTTTCGACAAAAGTCCAAATACGTTGGATGATATAGATTTTGTTCCCATTGAAAAAATCTTTAAATCCAAGCCCTTCAGATTTTATGGAATGTTTCAACTGTCATTTCAGTTTGAGGTAATGGTTAGTGGAATATGAAAAAAATTTTAAATAAAATTTGATTCATTTTTTTCATTTTAAAAATTTATTTTCAAGGCATTAGCTAATAAAATATAATTTTATTTCAAAATTTTATTTTAAAATAATTAACTAAATAAAATATGAAAGAATTGGAATTAATATATATAACTTTTATAACTGTTATTTTCCTACCTATTTTTAATCAAGCTCAATAGTTACTGAGGATATCAAAAGTTTTTTTAAAAATAAAATTTATTTGTATATTTTTTTCAAATGTTATTTTCAAATCATTAATTAAAAACTACAAAAAATTCACATTATTTTCAAATCATTAATTTTATGCTTTTTCCTCTCCCGATCATTTATGAAATCAAAAAAAAAAAAAAATAGTGATCTTTTCATGAACAATTTTTATTTTAAACCAAATGGCGATAATGACATTTTTTTCTTTTAAAGGTTTATTTTCAATTTATTAAATAATTTGATAGAAAATTGATAATTGAAAGCATAGGCGAAATCATAGAAAAATGATTAGCAACTGTTGTACACAAACATTTTAGCAAAAAGGGTCTTTGGACTATTTAACCTCAAATCCTTACTTCCGATCAAGAGTTCAAGTATATCAAGAAAAGAAACTAATTCTTCTAGAATGAGAAAAAGTTGACAACTTTCTGAATGCAAAAATATAAACAATTTTATATTATGTTTTTATTTGAATTACTTGTGTTTAGCTACTCACATTTTATTGAATAAAAAATATTGACACCTTCAGAGAATAAAGCCACATGAAAACCAATAGCATGAAGTTAAATAAACTTTGCATAGTTTTATTTTAAAAATATGATTCATTAAAACTATGGATTCCAAATATAATATATCACTCTAATGTTTCTGTCCAATAGAAATTAAAAATAAAAAATCATTGCGAGAAAGATGATTGCATTTCTCGAGAAGAAACATCACACCACTTTTGGCCATGACTTCATGAACTTTCTTAGACATTCTAAACCATTGGAATGTGAACTTCCAACGCACAAACACATCATAAACCTCTCACCCAAGCTTCATGCAATCACAATAAGAGAAGAAACAGCACTATCTATTCCTTGCTGAATTCATAAGTTACATACTGCAATAAAGTTACAAAACTTGCATCAGTTCTTTTTTTTTGTCTTCTTCTTTTTTTGGCAAGAAGCTTGCATTCATATTTTGAAAATCAATTTCTAACAATAATCTAATGAAAAAAAAAATGAACTTCAAGAAGCTTGCACCTACCTCTATTATTATTCTTATTCTTCATATTACTAAATTGGGTTTGTGAATGATAGAAAAAAATGCCCATGCTAATAATTGATAAATTAATAACATCATACCATATAAAAATAGGAGACAATAATTTATAAACTTAGATGAGTACATACAAGTGGTGATTGACCAACTCCAGTCATTTCAAAAACCTAACATTATAAATCGATAGGAAACCGAATCAATAGAAATTCAATAGTGGCTTATATGTATTATTTGTCTTAATCTATTTTATCAAAGTAAATAATTAATTAATTAATTAACATTCACTTTTAAGTAAAGTCATGAAAGTACCTTGATTATTGAACCAAAATTCAAAAGTGATGAAAGTACCTTGATTATTGAACCAATATACGTATTATGGTAGCAGTAGCCTTAATCTGCAAGAAAATATAATGCTTAAAGGAATACTTCTTAAAAGAAAAGTGGATAAATACTATGTACTTTTATATAAGTTTAAACTATATATATATATATATAAATATAATTGCATTCCTTACCATATATATTAATCTTGCTCAAGGTTGTTCAGATATTCTCTTTTGATATTCTTCAGCATGGAGACAACATTTTTCATATCTAACCTATCTTCAGGTAATTCAGCTGAACAATCCAAAGCTAATCTCATGATCAACGATATACAATTTGCTTTAGTAACAAAATATTCATCCGTTTTTTGCACCAGACTAGAATCTATTACACCAATTATTTCTTCAGATAATGACCTTTTCACCCAATGCTTCATACTCATTTCTCCAACAAAAATATCATCTGTAGGCTTCTTTCTCGTGAAAGTTTCTATTAATAGAATACCATAACTATAGACATCACTCTTTATCGAAATAATTCCTGTTGATCCGTATTCTGTATTATAAATATAATTGAATCATTAAATGATCTTATGCCATTGGGCATCATTAATCATCAATAAAATGCTAAAATACTAATATCTACATGTCTTATAATAGAGAAAAAATAAAAAATGTAAACATCACCTGGTGCCATATAGCCAATAGTAGCTAGTGTCATTGTTTGTTTGATGGAATCTCCTTCTCCCAATAGCTTGGCAATTCCAAAATCTCCAACATGCGCAACCATATCTTTATCAAGTAAGATATTACTTGGCTTTAGGTCACAATGGATTACAGGAACCGGATGTCCCAAATGGAGGTATTCTAATGCTGATGCAACATCTATCATTATGTTGATTCTTTGTAAGATATCCAAGAAATAATTGTAAGAATATAACCATTTCTCAAGGCTCCCATTAGGCATGAATTCAAGCACTAAAGCTTTGAAATCAATAGTAGAACAACAAGTAATGATCTTGACAAGATTGCGATGAAGAATATTGCTCATCACTTCACATTCAACATCAAAACTCTTAAATGCTCCTTCTATTTGCAAATTGAAAACTTTTATTGCAACATCTGTCCCATCTGACAGTATTCCTTTGTATACAGAGCCAAAACTTCCTGAACCAAGTAAGTTGCTTCCACTAAATCCACTAGTCCCTTCCAATAGTTGATTATAAGAAATTCTTACCCAATTTTTAGGAGGAATTAAATCTTCAACAATTGCCAAATTTATACCCCCGTGCTGCCATTTTTTGTAGACAACTATGAAGGCTACAACTATTATGGTTGAAACAAATGTTGGTAAAACATACCTCAAAGAATGACGAGCAGTCTTCTTGAAATTTCGATGGATTTTATTTTTGCAAGGTGAGACTTGTAGTCTAGGTGAACCACATAGTGCATAATTTTTTATGAATGATTTGGCTGTGAAGTTCGAAAAGGGCCCTCCACTTGGTATTTCTCCTTCCAATCTATTGAAAGACACATTAAAATAATTGAGATCATAAAGTTTTTCCAAAGACTTGGGAATGACTCCAGAGAGATTGTTGTTAGATAAATCCAAGCTTTTCAAACTCATCAAGTCGCCCAATGATTTTGGAATAGGACCTTGTAATCTATTTCTAGAAAGATCCAAAACTTGCAGATCATGGAAACTTCCAATTGTGGATGGAATATCACTTGATAATAAATTCCTTGACAAATTCAAAGAGATAAGTACCTTCAAATTTCCAATGTCAAGTGGAAGTGAACCGCTAAGATTGTTTGATGACAAGTCTACTTCTAAGATATCTTTAAGGCTCCAAAAACTTAAAGGTATTTGCGAATGCAATTTGTTGGAGAACAAGTTTAGATATCTCAAAGAAGTCAACTCACATAAACATGTTGGTAATGGTCCATCAAGCTCATTAGCACCCAATGATAATTTGTACAATCCCTTCAAACCACAAAGATCAGGTGGGACAGAGCCTTGTAACTTATTTCCATAAAGATTCAAAAGTTGGAGATTTTTTAGCCTTCCCATTGTTGTTGGAATAGGTCCAGTCAATTTATTAGAGGAAAGGTCTAACGATATAGCGTTGCTTAAGCTATCAATTTCCATGGGAATGCTGCCTTTAATTTTGCAATCAACGACCCTTAAATTTTGAAGTGATGTGGAAAGATTTGAGATAGCAGTTGGAAGAAGGCCATTCAATGGATTGATTGATAGGTCTAAAATTCTTAGATGCCTGCAATTTGCCAAGGAATAGAGAAAGCTCCACTCATGAGTAGAAGTTTTGGTGGTCAAATGATTCGAATTAAGGCGCAATTTCTCAAGGAACCTCAAATTGCCAAGTGTATTTGGAATAAGGCCAAAGAATGAGTTTCCTTGTAATTCTAAGATTGTGAGCTTAGAAACATTGGAGATAGAATCAGGAATTTTTCCACTGAGATTATTGCTCCACAAGTGAAGCTTCTCAAGATTTGAAGCAAAGCTCATGTATGGTAATTTACCTTAAAAGGAAAAAAAAAAAGAAGTTAGCATCTTTCCATGCAAGAAATAAATTAATTGTTTAGCATATTTCCATACAAGAAATAAATTAATTGTTTTGCTTTGTTGTGTTTTTTATGTATCTATGATGCAAGCTGAAGTGAATGCAATGCTTATATATTCTAACATGAGTGAGGAGAAACATGAAGCCTTCTAACAAATATAAATACGAAACAACTTCAAGGTTTTCTTGTTTGATGATGTGGAATATATATATATATATATATATAAAATATAAATTTTTTTCATATTTATAATGATTCAAAGGCTCCATGCTTACTTATAATAAAGTACAAAAGAGGAAAAAGAAAAGTAAAAGAAAAAAGAAGATAGAAGAAAGGAAGGGAGAAAAGAAAATATTATAAGTTTTCTAGTATATGCTTAAAGTGTTTTCCGTTTATGTGAGAATTTTATTTTCTTTAACTTATCTCAATTGCTTTAATGATAAAAAAAGATTAAAGAAACTTTGGATGATGAAATTGTTCAGGCAAGAAAAAGAAAAATCTGAAAGTGTAAATATTTGGAAATAAATTAGAATTTTTATCTATGCCATTTTAGGAAAAAAGACTCAAGAGAAATGATAAAAGTACATGTACTCTCTTTAGTTTGAAAATCACTTTTACTTCCCTAAGTTTTGATAGAACCTTGCGAGTCCTCTACCAGAGGAGGTTCATTGGAGGTTTGTTGGAGAAATACTGTATACATTTTACAATTACAATAAAAAATTTAGTAATATGATGACAAAAAATGTGAAACTAATGAAAACGATTTTAAAATGATGCTTTTAATTACACAATCATTAGAGGGTGAAAAGCCTTGCCTTAGTCCGATTTAGTGGGTGAAGTAAACGTAAGTCAAAAAGCTCTTCTTGGATGCTATGAAGGCCACACAAGAACATTACCTACGGAGAAAAAATTTTGTTACACTATTTGTTGATGGAATTTTTCCAGGTTGTAGTCTCTTTAATCACAAGCAACGTTTTGTCAGATGTGGGAGGGTGGTTGATTTTTATGTCCCAAAAATCAAAAGAGAGCCAAGAATGTCTTATTTGGTTGTCCATTATCTTGATCTACGGGATGCATTGAGGGCTACCAAATTTCTAAATACTTTGCACCTGAGGTATTCCACTCTATATGTTCAAATGCAGAGGTGGTTAATTCATATGTCTGTCAAATCCACTGAGTTAAAGGATAACATTTTATCAGATGGTCAAAAAGAAGAGGTTTTAAAATCGCTTGACATCCTTGAATGCATTCTTGAAAATTTAGATTTGGTGGGATTACACGGAATGCTGTTGGGATAGTTAGATATCCTATACTACAAATGCCATTGATCAAATCTTGTCAGAGGACTTGGATGATTGTTCTGTCGCTATCATGGGTGAGAATATGGTTCTTTTGACTTTTGAAAGCAAGGAAAGTATGTTATTTTCTCTGGAACTTGGTCAGGAGTTTCTGTTGAGCTTATGAGCTGAGAAACTTTTCAACGTTGAAGAAAATTTTCACCTTGTTACTATTCGAGCACGTAAAAGAAGGAAAAAAGTTAAGGCAAAATATTGGACAAGATCCAAACGCAAGTCTCGCCAGATAAAGACACCTCCAGTTTCCATTGTTCAAGAGCACTTATCGGATGAAGATATTCATTCTCGAAATAGAGCTTTTCTAGAAGAGGCTATGTTTCTTGGTAAGACTCTTGTATTTCACTTATTTGATCTCTAATAAAAATGTCTTAGCAAAAAAAAATTACATAACTATTGCTTTTTATTTCGTAAAAAAAAAATTAAATTTAGATATGATTACCGAATTCATCCTTGACGAGTTTTGACCCGACATTATCTCATAGGGTCGATTTATTTGTTATGAAAATTGGATTTCAAGTCGGGTAACAATAATAAAAAATCAAGGCCAAGACAAGATCAAGTTTTAAATAAACTCGATCTAATATATATATATATAATTATTTTTAATATTATTTATTTAATTTTATATTTATATGCATTTTTTATATTTAATTAATTTTATATTTATATTAAAAATAATATTTTATTACTTTTCGGTCGAATCGGATTGAATACAATACAATTTTATATAATGTCGGATTGAGTTGGATTTAGATATTACAAAAAAAAATAAAACATTTATCAGATCAGGTCGAGTTCGAGATGAACAAAAACTCATTCTAACTCGACCCGACCCGACCCAACTTGTTGCCGTTTCTAATTAAATTTCCTAATTTGACAAAAAAAAAAAGGTAAAAGCAGCACTTATTTTTAGTGCTTATAATAAAAAGAGAGTATTTAATTTATAATTATTATAATTTAATTAATTAATTATAATTTAAAATTATATAAATTTTATTAAAATTTATATGTAACCCATATTTATGAGTGATAATCTTTATACAATACTTTATTGTGATTAGATAATAATTGTAATATTATAATAAAATAATTTATAACTGAAATGCTCTAAATAAGAAGTTAAACAACTTTAGACAAATGTATACATTATATTAAAACAATCCTGTGACAAAAACATGGTGGTCGACAAAAGTATGTTACTTGGGGGCGAACTGAGAATTGACATGTGGTTGGGTAGGTGAATAATTTTTTTTTAATTTTTTAATGTTTATTTTTTTTGAAACGGAGTATGACTAAAAAAATCATCAATACTATATTTTAAAACAATGGTTTTTTTAATTTTTTTTTTTGAAATTGGTTTTTGTTAAATATAAAATCATAGGCTTTGTCCTCAATTACCATATAAACTATACTCATTTATCTTAAAAGAATGAGCTTAGTAAAAAATAATATAGGCTAAGCAAACGTATGAACTTTAATTTTTGTATTAGAAGAGTGGGCTTAATATATAATGCTATAATAATTTTAATCTAATTTTTAATTTCCATATTTAAATTTATTATTTATATGTAATATAATAATGCTCAAATTAAAATTACCTTATCCGTTCAATAAAATTTTATATTTTAGAAAATTTAAATTTAATATTTTATTATAATATTACATCTTGTTAATAAATAATAAAATTATGTTAATTTTAATACAATATTACATGTTGTTAATAAATAGTAAATTTAAAAAAACTAAAAAATGAATTGATCTAATATTATTAGATAATATTAAAAAATTACAAAATAGATCAGTTACAATTTAATGAAACTTTAAATCGGTGTTAAAAGAAAAATATTTGAGGGAATAAACACTAAAAGGTTTTTAGTTTGGTTTTATTGACATGGAAAGACTCTTTCTTTCCTACTTCAAATTAAATAATCATTACAATAAAGGTTTTAATTATAATATTTTATGCAAGTTTTTATTTTAGAATACACGTTTTTACATGTACTTTATTTTATCATATTTTCATTTCTAGAATTCATATCTCTTTCCACTTCTCTTTTTTCTTTCTTTCATTTTTTTTCCTTTTTTTTTTTTTTGTTTTTTAAATTGATCAATAAAAAAATGGATAATTAACAAATAGCTCCATGGATCAATTCTTTCCTCCCATCAAATTTTACTGTATGTGACTAGCATATTTCATCATTTTAACAACTTATTAAGAGCTAATCAAATATATTCATATGGATTACAGTATATAAATTTTTTAATATACCTATAAAATCTGAATATTATTGTTTTCTATAACTTCCATGAAAATCATATATATTCATTTGAATCTTATTTAATTTATCCCTCGTAATGAAATTTTGAATTTCACAATCCTTTTTATATATACTTAACAGTTTTAATCAATTTAATGATATCCTTATGATTTAATTTTTATGAAACATTTCACATATAGCCAATAAAACTACCCCATGCGTATACACACTATTAATAAATATAAAAGTAATAAAATATATTGTTAAATTTTTTATTACATAAAATATAAATTTTAAATATTTGCAGATAAATAAATATAAACATATAAAATATAATAATACTACTTTAAGTTAGATGTAACAATAATTAAGTCGGTATTAAATTAATATGGGAGTAACAAAGTACGTTAATATTACTTTTTATTACATTATAAAACAAATCAAATAGTTTTTTCATATATAATTGCAGTGGGATAATAAATAATAGCCATATTGCATCACGAGTTTTGGGTACTTATCCTTTTTCCACATTGGCCGACTTTGTAGACTTAGCTAGTGGTGCGCATCCTAGTTAGGGGCATGATTCCATCATAAAATGTTTTTTAAAAAAATTTAAAATATTTTCCAAAAGATGGAAATTTTCATTTTTAGGTTTGGTTTTCAAATTCTTTTGAGTCTTTGTTTTGCTTTTCTCTAATTTAATTGGAAACAATATTTGACTTTAATAAGATAAAAGAGGTTTGAAAAAACATTTTTCAAGCCTTTCAATGACACTTCATTTGTTTAACAGTTTTCATAATTTTATGATTATTTGTTTTATAATCCTAAACTAAACTTTTTTGAAACTAAAGTAAACAATTTTAAATTCAAAAGTAATAAAATGTTTATAATGAAATTACCTGATAGACTATTGTTCGTGAGATAGATTATTTTCAAAGAAGAAATATTGAAGATGATATGTGGAATTAGCCCATTTAAGCGCATAAATGATGCACTTAATATCTCCAATGAAATAAGATTCCCAATCTCCCATGGAATTTCAC